CAATCTCAATGTATGGAATTTCATAAGTTGACCTCTGTGACCCTTGACCTTTGACCTACGTGCTCTAAAATCTAATCAGATCGTCTTCCTATGGTGATACATACTATCCTTAAGTTTGAAGTTTTTACATCTCCAGTGGTTCTTGAGATATGATAACAATCTCAATGTATGGAATTTCATAAGTTGACCTCTATGACCCTTGACCTTTGACCTACGTGCTCCAAAATGTAATCAGATTGTTTTCCTATAGTGATACACACTATCACCAAGTTTGAAGTTTAAATCTCCAGTGGTTCTTGAGATATCATGATAACAATCTCAATGTATGGAATTTCATAAGTTGACCTCTGTGACCCTTGACCTTTGACATACGTGCTCCAAAATCTAATCAGATCGTCTTCCTATGGTGATACATACTATCCTTAAGTTTGAAGTTTAAATCTCAAATGGTTCTTGAGATATCGCGCTAACAAACTCAATACAAGGAATTTCATAAGTTGACCTCTGTGACCTGTGACCTTTGACCTACGTACTCCAAAATCTAATCAGATCGTCTTCCTATGGTGATAAATACTATTCCCGAGTCTTAAGTTTAAATCTTAAATGGTTCTTGAGATATTGTGATAACGGTCAAACGGGACGGACGTACGGACGGACGTACGGACGGACGGACGGACGTACGGACGGACGGACGTACGGACGGACAACCCGAAAACATGATGCCTCCGGCACCACCTTCGGTGGCGGAGGCATAAAAATGTATTGTAAAATACTAGTATTTCAACTACATATGATTTTGGGCCTACACTGTATGTATTGTACTCTAAACGATGAAAAGTAGAGAGCATTCTATTTTGAAAGACACATTGTTCTCTATACAGTAATTTGGGGATATACTCAATTACAATGTAGGAAACAAATCTGAAAGCATGAAAAAAAGTTTAGTCACTACAAGCATCATAGCACAAATATAAAAGAATTGAAAAAAAGAATACATTCATGTACTAGCTGTTAGTGTGTGGAGCGCTGAAACAGGATGTGGTGACATGGTAAATTGTACAATGCATGTACATGTACTGTAGATGCATGTGTAGTATCAAGTACATATTGCAATACCCATGCAACCCCCATATTCCTGCAAGTTTAAGGCCCCAAAACAATCTGCTGTTCATACTATGTATATATATAGTATATATATATAAAGTCCAATCCAATATATACATTTCCAAATTTAAGAGCAAATTAATCACCATGTTATGGACAGGTTTGAAGGAGAAAAAGTTCCAATTAATGGACTGTTATTTTTTATTGTTATTTTTATATATTTTTTTATTTAAATTGTTATATAAGGCTAGTTCTGATAAGACACTATTGAACTATGAATGCACCCCAAAATTAAAACAAAGAAAATGACAAAAACTACCCTAAAAATATCTACATGAAAAAAACAAGTAACAAAGCAAAAAAACAAAACAAGTAACAAAGCAAAAAAACAAAACAAAATAAACAAATACAGTATACGGTAAGTGTACATTACCATGACATACATTGTACATGTATATTACACTGTAGCCTTCATATACTAAAATCTATCTGTGCTTTGAAATTGCCACTGGTACAATGCAATGATTTGAAAGAAACATGGCGATTGAAGTTGAAGGCACAGGTACGTGCTTGCTTGCACAGCTCAGAAGGTCACTCAATAAAAGTCACAGATTCTGACATAAATCGCTTTGATAGATCAATGTTTGAATCATTACAATCCAGCATGCACAAAGTGTGAAAATGTAGAGGGAGAGCTCTCAGAATGAAACAATTTACAAGAAAATAGAATCTACACTTTTTTTTTTAAAGAAACTAACTGACATAATTTTTGAAATCTCTATTATTAAAAAAAATAATGATTTTGTTTGGTGTATATGAATATTTAAAGCACTCACTATTAACTATTGAATACATGCACATTATAGACTAAAACATAAGTAGCATCCTTGGTTCTGTACTTGAGCAGTTCATGTAAATATATTGAATACAATTGAGGTGAGGATTATTACAAAATGAATGTTGATCGTTGAGTGAATATCTTTTGCTTATGAAAAGGTTTTTGATATTAACCACAATTATCCAGATTCAAAAAGATTAATTGCAACTGAATGGTGAGGAATACTCAATAATCTTTTTTCTGTGAATAATTGGCAAATAAAATGTATAGATTATGATTTATTTTTCTCCTAAATCGTTTGAAAAATCATGAGATTCCAGAGGAAATTAGATGTGGCTATCAGAAATAAGGGTGTATAAATGTAAGCAGGAACAAAAATTGGTCATTCTTTGCATAATTCTTTTCTTTGGTGGGATAATAAGATCAACATAGTAAACATGGCCAAGGTGATCCATTCAGTCACATAGTGAAATTAAATGCAAGCTGAATTCTTTACAGCCTCATAAAACATGTATGTGTTCACCATTCATGCATTCCGTTGACCCGGTTTTATTAATTTTGGTAATTATGTATGAAAATGCCTGCCTCCTGTACTGTTAGAGTGGAAGATGAACTACTTCCTCAAGTCCCTTTCAACAATGCCAATTGCTCAATACATAACAACCTTAACAATGACAATGCACAGCCTTAATTCTACTTGAGGTTGCAAATCAAACTGTTTGGTCTCCCATTCCGATGATGTAACATAGTCAACAAGTTCAGGTGATTGTCCATTCCGGCCTGCAACTGTTCTACTATGCAAGCACAATCTCACAAAATTCATGGACCTTTTATATATATATAAGACCAAATAAAAAAACAAACATATTTAGCGTCCTCTTTTTTTGAAAAATAGGAAGGAGGAGGCCCTTTTTTTCTCTTTGTTTTCTTTCGAAAATGGCCACTCAAAATGGCTGCTCGGTACATTTCCCCTGACAGTCGGGCTATTTTTCAAGATGGCCGCCGACATTTTAAAAATATTTTTTAATCAGAAATAGATCCATTTGAGCAGTGTTTTTCATGTTTTTTTTATTTAAACAAATTTCAAAAACATTTCAACAAAAAAAAAAAAATTCAACAAAATTCAAAATTCAAAAAATAAAATAAAATAGGAGGCGGCCCCCAAAAAGGAAGTGGGCGGGAAAGCTAAACATGTATATTTTTTTAATGGCCTAACTGTCTCATTTTTAAGCATGCCCATCAGTCTAATTAAAAACTAATTATACAGCCTGAGGGATGTTTCTCAATTCTACGGTATATCATATCAGAAATCCATGATTCCATCTATATATAAAATTCAGGGCGGATACCAAACGTACGTGCTCTCAAAATTACATCAATTTGCTGACCTGATTAAAACTGAGTACCAGTGCTTAATGTTTCATGCAGTAATTATCAATTGTACATTGTAAATATGTGTACACATATTATTTTCCACCATAAAGGGCTGAAAGTACATCATTACCTTCCTAACCTTTGAACAAATTTGATGTTTTATGCTTTTCACACAGAAAATTTGAGGAAAAAAAAGAGAGGAATCTAGAGTTCAAAAAAAACTTGAAGGCCAAAAAATAGGAAACATGCCTCCAAAACAGGAATGGTTGGCAGCTATGTAATGATCATTTGTTCACCTCCCTGCGAGTAGCATTTCTGTGAATTGTATTGTAAGAAAATCTATGTACTTTCAATAGCTATTACTGTGTACAATTTTCACAGTTTATAGGGTACTTTTCCTGTCAACAGAAACTTTACTGATATCGAAAATAGAGGATTCTCGAATCTCAATTCTGCTCCATGCATATATTTAACCTCCATTGTATTTATAACATCTAAAGAGTGTGTTATGACTCTGCTATCATGCTGTTTAGATGTTAGTACAGTCATCGGTTCAAAGTCTGAATTCCAAATGCAGTACACCCACTTCGGATTAGTCTGTAGCGCTAAACCTTATCAAGCCTTCAAATCTACTCCATTCCATATCCACCTTAATGCAGGAATTGGGCCTGTCTTCATCAACTCAAGTTTACCAAATAACCCACTATTCTAATTATCCTGATCTCAAATTGTATCAGCCCGCGGTTGCAATTAGCGGGACATTTGGTCGAGAAAATATCCAGAGAAATGTTGGTCTTGTTTCCAATTTAGCAGGAAATAGCGGGCTAATTTGCGCCCACCTGAGGGTCCTGAGCTAATCTGTGATGAGCGTATCGGTCTCGTTACGACACGCAATTTTGAGCTTCGGGATAATATCCCGAGTCTGAAAATAGCGGGTTATTTGGCAAAACTCGAGCTGATGAAAACAGGCCTATTGAGGCAGAAGTTGAATATGAAACGTCAGATTTCGCAATGGGTTGGGATATTTGACGCTCTTCTCTATTAGAGGCAATGTATAGCATTTACATTTTTGTACAAGTGTACAAATGCAAAGAAATATTTTGGTTACCTACATGTACATGTATCAAGGAGGTATGAGAAACTCTACTGAAGTACTTTGCTATTGTTTGAAGCTGGGCTGGCTAATTACAAATATCCATCCAAAACAAAAAAGTTATTCTAAAAAATTACAGGTACATAATCTTCTTGATGATTTGGTAATGCCCAAAGATTAAAGTACTGGAAACACATGTCAAGGAATGATCGAGATATAATCTTCTACCGGTACCGCTATATGAATAATAATTAATCATAATGGCTAGCTGCTAGATACACGTACTTTACATGTGCTATGTACATGTATTTTAATGAAGTATGTAGGGAGATCGCTATTAACTATATTCCTAAAAGTTATATTATAGCTGTTGTTAGTATTTGCACATGTACTGTACATTTTTTCTCTCTTAATTGTACAATTATAGAGTTTTGGTATATAGAAGTGAATAGGAACAAAATGCTGAAGAACAGGGCAACAGGAATGAGAAATTCAATAATCCATTTCATTTTTCCATTCATGATTGATTGATGATGAACAAAAATATATTTCAAAAAAATGAAAAGGGTATGTATCACTCCTGGGAAAATATTTTTTTGTCAAAGAAACTTTCCACTTTTTGTTCCTATTCCCCTTTATCCCTTTTACGGGAATGTACATTGTAAATAAGAATGATTGAATATCTGCCTTGCAAGTTGTCACAAACTTGTATTAAACACACTTGTTTTGACTATCGGTTTATTACATTGGTACTATGTTTTAATGCACCTTTGATCCTCCAATTAGTTGAGATGTGTGACTTCATTGCATGATGTTATCTCTTCTTATGATACTAGCACAATAAATAAGGGGGTGTTTGAACACCCGATTGTGTATTTCCTCTTATAACAAAGGCCTAGGTTTGCATGTTAATCATAGACAAACACAATGCAACCTCACAACTATGGATATACATGTAAGTCTAGAAGATCGAAGTGAAGATAAGAAATATTTGGTCCCATTCCCAGTTTATGATTTCCGAAACGTGGGACATCATGATCAGTGATATCATATTTTTATAAAAAGAATTTTCATACATGTACAGTGTACATAAAGGAATTTGTTTTTAGTTCTATTTTCAATTTTCAATAAGAAATAATCATGAAATTCATGTTCACTATGACTTTCAGACAGGTCAAGGAAATTTTCGGAATCGACCAGCAATCATTTCTACAAGGCTAGTAAATAGAATTAATATATAAAGATCCGAATGGACTCAATTTGTTAAAAACGTTCAATATACAAATCTTTTGAATACATACAAGAAAGAAATTATGTCTTTATTTTTATGGTTTCAAGGCTTAAGCACTCACAAACACCTACAGTACAAGAAGAAATACAAAAACACTTTTATCACACAAATTTGTATAAGTAATTCTAAAGATTTTGTACATTGTAGGCACACATGTACGAGGCAGTACAGAAGCTGCAAAGTGCAAACATGATTTGAATTTGGAAAAAGCGGCTGGTGCAAATGTAGCAAGGGTCACCTGGACCACAAGAAAACACATCATTTCTTAAAAAGAGCCTACAATATGAAATGCCATGTTTCTTGAATATTGACATGATTCTGGTAGACGCAACATTGACTTTGCACATGATAGCTATCTTACAAACAACATGGAGATGAGCACATTTAAAAATCTTGTTCAAATCTCATCAGTTTATTTATCGTAATAAAAACATTAACATTTTCAAGGACAAAACATCTACTAGGTCTGGCAATAAATCAACCCCAAATTCAACATCGTTAACGCATTTGTTTCCTCCTACAAATTTATAATTTACTCTCAGAAGCAAGCCATTTTTTGAATGTGCTGCCTTTATGTTATTAACAAGACAAGAATGCGATGACATGCACAAGCTGGACGCCCCTCCAGCAAATGCCTCCCCCTATCAAAAAGTGCAGTGGAGATGGTGCATATTATACCTCCTTTTAGAATGCTTCGTCGAATTCGACTAGATTGCTGGCAGGATCTGTGAGCCTTTTATCCTTGGCATCTTTGATGAAGCCCCAGACTTCAAAGACAAAGGCTTCGGGGAATCCAAAGAGATCAAAGTGCTCGTTGAATGCCGTCATGAACTCCACAAAGTCAGTCTTGCCCTTGAACATGTCCACGATCGATGCGGCTGATCAAATTAGGAAGAAAACAAATGAGTTGAATTGATTTAATCACGGTGAAACTCACATCAGCATAAAAAAAAGTTTGCTTTTCAACAAGTATGTTTTACAAACATAAAACAGATCACATACATGTATACACTAAATTGTATGTCTTGGAGAGAATGAAAATATTCCCCACAAAATGTATAATCTCTCAAAGTACTATAACCTATTAAAACATTATTTTACAATTGAACCTACACTGTATGGGTAATCCTAATAATAATACACAACCTGTCAGATTAAAGTTAGGGTTAAAATTGACAAAGAAAATAATTTTTGTAAAGTTCTACATGTATGTAAACTAAGTTCTTTAGGGCGGCTAGGGCCATGTTATTTTTCCCTCCAACATATCAAAATTGAAGAATACATCATTAATTTTAACAGCGCCCCTCCCCCCCCCACCCCTCTCCCCCAACAATAAAAAATGATAACAATAATACAAATATACAAATTGTTTTAATATTTTAAAAATAAAGGCATAAACAAAACAAAATGACTCACCTAAATCAAGATCTCTGATTCCCATGTAACTCTCCAGACAGTCATCAACTTTCCCTACGGCTAGCGTCTCGTATTCCTCGGGCTGCAAGGTACACAACAATTTTAAAACATTTTAACACACATGTGGGCCTATTGATTTCTTTTCAGAATATCAAATATGTTTGTTGTTATTTCAATACAGCTCAACTGTAGGTTCAACAGAATTTACTAATTTCTACTGGGGGATATTTCATCAATGGCCAACTAGATGTACAGTACATGTTTACTGTACATTTTTATGTAACTTTAGGCAATTAAAATAAATGTACCTCCAAGATATACTAAAATGTATGTCTAATTTTGATGCGAAGAATGAAAGTAGTTCACCTAAATATATATGATGTAGATACATGAATTAATCTTTCAAGCTTAAAAACAAAAAAGTTTTCAATCACAATGATTTTTGTTAATGAAATGGGAAATAAAAACCTATGTCACCTTTGTTTTGATGTTCAATATGTCACATGGTAATTGTTTTTATTTATAATCTAGCCTTCTATATTAAAAACTTTGAGATGATTCTTGCACCAAAGTTGATAGAAATATGTACAACTTTAGTGCCTTTAGTTCAGTGTATACCTGAATACATGGAAATCATTTTTTTTAAAGATTGCTGTACTGTATACCAGTAATGTTTGCATAAGTGGTTAAGTCCAACTTTTCATCTACACATGTATTTCAAGCCAGGCTTAAATGAATTTTCATTTCCTGTGCTTGAAAATATAATACATGCATTACGTTCGTTTCTCACTGATACAGGAAAAATGAATCATTACGTAAGCAACCCAGCTCATCAGCAGCAACCTACAACAAACAAGCACAATTTTAAAGAAATACATAGAATGTCAAGATGTCAAATCTTTCTCACAACTGAATGGAAACAGAATTAATATAATTCTCCCCAAAGGCATCAAAAACTGACAGGCAGGAAGTACATGTACTTCATTTCAATTGCAAAATCAGCATTGTTGCTTCTACATGTACATGTGTACACGAACAAAGGACTTGCGAGGTTGAGAAAATGCTTTATTTATGAGTTCTTCAATTCTACTGTTACTGTATTTTCGACAAGCAAAATATTCTACCAACCAATTATGATGTACATGTACATGTACAGATAATTTCATAAACTTTGAACTTTGTAGCTTACATTGTATTCCATCTTAGTCCGGGATTCAAAGACACCAACAAAAGCCTTTGATGCATTTATTGAATCAGGGCTGTACAGGTGACATGTGCAGTATGTAATTCTGATTTTGTGCATTTCATTATGCTCCTAATGAGACAAACAATATTACAGGAAAAGAAACAATATAAGGGTGTTCCCAGGTTGGGGGCGGGGGATTTTCCCTCAACCCTTCCTATTTTTTCACCAATTAAGAGCTACATATGGCTTCATGTATTTGACTACCGGTATTGAATTGAACGAAACTGAAATAAAATCTGTCAATTTTTTTTTACCAATTGTTCTACTGTAGCAGGTCCCTTGGTATGTAATCTCAATGTAGCTTTTCCTGTACCAATGTTGTTGTTGGTTGCCATAGATACTTTACTTCCACGTGGTCCAATTTCATCTGAAACAAAAAAATGCAAATAACACAACTTTAAAACAACTTTGTTGAACATTCTGAAACATTTCCAAAAAGCCTTTAAACAAGTAATTTGCATATTATTTTTGCAATGCATTGAAACAAGTCACTTGCATATCATTTTTGCAATGCATTGAAACATTTTATGAATCACACAGAGTCTGTTGAAAAGGTTGCAGTAAGAAAGGAATATTCATCCAGATAACCATATTTGCTGGTTCATTTTTTATAAATTTATTTCCATAGCAAGATGAAAACATTATGATTCAATCTTCAAAATACAAACATATATAATAATATACATGTAATTGTACATGTATGTGAAGTGGGAAGATCATGAAAATCACAAAAATGGCTTTTAAAAGATGATCCTTACAAAATATACAAAATAACAATATTAAACTGTAAAATAACATAATTAACATAAAAATGAAGATTACAAAATGATAAAGAAAAATTTTCTTTAACATTAATAGAGAAAAGAAGGAGGAAACATTGCATAGACATTGACATCATTAAAGTTCTTAGAATTTATCAAAAAGAAATTGCTTTATATACAGTCAATTGAATTGGTTGATTGTCTATAAACTATTCTTAATTGATATGAAGGTTACTCCATAAAATTGAGCTGTTATTAAAGAAGATCTTCTTCTTCTTCTTCTTCAAGATAATCTGCCTCCTTCAATACAGAAGATTCTTGCAGATGCCGTATACTCGGCCTGATTGGGGTGTGCAGGTGGACCATTACACCGGGGTTTCCCCCTACTCTTATACGAAAAGTGCAATGGGTTCTTAACGTGCAAGGGTGGTGACTCTCCTGTACACGGGGCCTCCATTTAACGTCCTATCCGAGGGACGGAGTGTTTTCCACTTGACATAACCTGCGTCTATGAACAAGGGAAGGGGCACGTTAACACACAACACAGACTTCAGTCATCCGCCTCGGTGGGAGTCGAACCCGGGATCTTTGGTTCGACAGGCAGACGCTTTACCGACTGAGCCAACTTGCCTCCTCGACTGAGCCAACTCGCCTCCTCAAGATGGAAGATTGTGTTATCGAGATACAATGAGAAGTATTCTAAAGCACTACAAACATAGTAACCAATGTTTAGTTTCTGTTTACATGTTCATGTGTGTAGGTCACCGGGTAATTTGTGTGTATACATGTATACAGGGGTGTCTTTGCAATAATTTGCATGATCAACTGAAGTTTGCATAATTTCCAAATGTACACAATGTATGCACACAAGTGACACAAGTCTTTGAACCATGTACAATGTACATGACTGTACATACAATGTAATGGATTGTGGAATTTAATGCTTGATTGCTAATTTGCTATCAACATTAAAATGTTAATGTCAATATCCACTTTTCAGAGTACTCATGTAAAGCGTGCGCGCGTCTCTATCGTGTAACAGGTTTGTTTTCTATATGCCTGATATAGTGTTACAGTATGTTCATTTGTTTCATATACGAATCAGGGTTGGCACATGAACAGAATTACATTTTTTAACGTGTTAAAAATCACCCGTTTTTATTACATTAAAAAAAAAAAAATTTAAAACATGCCCATAGACATGTGTGCAATAAATTTAATATGCATTTTTCTTACATGTTTTTTTGTTGCTTAAATTACTTGGTTTTCCATCGACTTTGGTATAGTGTACATGATTCCACAGTTGCTTTAATAGTAAAATACGAGTGGATTAAAATCTTTTTCCGCCCAGCCTCTCTCCTCTTGGGTCTGCTGAAAAGTTAGCTGAGGATTCTAGTGATCTACAGTACTGTACATTAGACCGATGTGTTGTTCTCAGTCGCCATCTTCACAAATTTCCTCAGATTTTCACTGAATAAATATTGTTAATCTTGTGGACTGTTGGTCTGCTGGGAGGTTCCTGTTCTGCAATTCAGCCATCTGGCTTCCAATGAATTTTTAATAAAACCATTACCATTACCATAAAATCTGTAAGTCTTCAAACCTTTTAATATGAGCTTTTTAAAATTATGACCATGCTCTGGTTTAGACAACATACCGGTACACCGGCTTAAAAAAACAAAACATTTCCTTATTAAACCATTTCTGCAATTTCGGCACTTGAAGGGCCACTAAAATAAGGAAGAAAGATAAAAAGGTTGAAAAAAGGTTGAAAAAAGGTTGAAAAAAGGTTGAAACTAGATGGAATTCGACTGCGCGCAGTCGAAAATGATGCCTCCGTCATAGAGCAATTTTACAAACCGAAACGGAAGAAATTTTTCAAATTCAAGTTCAATTGTAATCCATTAACATGTTCTCAGAATATCGTGATTACAAGCAATTTCTCATAAACATATATGACCCTTTGATCTTTGACCTCATGACCCTAAAATCTACTCAGTTCATTGGCTCTGCAAGATTTCCTGAGTTAAATAGTAATCCATCTGTCAGTTCTAATGAGAATGCGTCCACAAGCTATTTTTGCATACATAATGAGCCCATGACCTTTGATCTTATGAACCATTCATTGGCTCTGCAAGATACATAAATGATCTAAGTTTGGCAGGAATCCATCAATCTGTTCTAATGATAATACGATAACAAGCTATTTTTGCATACATAATGAGCCGCATGACCTTGACCTTTACCTCATGACCCCAAAATCTAATCAGTTCATCAGCTCTGCAAGTAACATACATGACCAAAGTTTGGCAGGAATCCATCAATCGGTTGTTCAGATAACGCGATCACGAGCTGTTTTTGCATACATAATGTGCGCTGTGACCTTTGACCTCGTGACCCCAAAATCTAATCAGTTCATTGGCTTTGCAAGATACATACATGACCAAAGTTTGGCAGGAATCCATCAATCGGTTCTTCAGATAACGCGATCACAAGCTGTTTTTGCATACATAATGAGCCCTGTGACCTTTGACCTCGTGACCCCAAAATCTAATCAGTTCATCAGCTCTGCAAGATACATACATGACCAAAGTTTGGCAGGAATCCATCAATCGGTTGTTCAGATAACGCGATCACAAGCTGTTTTTGCATACATAATGAGCCCTGTGACCTTTGACCTTTGACCTACGTGCTCCAAAATGTAATCAGATTGTTTTCCTATAGTGATACACACTATCACTAAGTTTGAAGTTTAAATCTCCAGTGGTTCTTGAGATATCATGATAACAATCTCAATGTATGGAATTTCATAAGTTGACCTCTGTGACCCTTGACCTTTGACATACGTGCTCCAAAATCTAATCAGATCGTCTTCCTATGGTGATACATACTATCCTTAAGTTTTAAGTTTAAATCTCAAATGGTTCTTGAGATATCGCGCTAACAAACTCAATACAAGGAATTTCATAAGTTGACCTCTGTGACCTGTGACCTTTGACCTACGTACTCCAAAATCTAATCAGATCGTCTTCCTATGGTGATAAATACTATTCCTGAGTCTTAAGTTTAAATCTTAAATGGTTCTTGAGATATTGTGATAACGGTCAAACGGGACGTACGGACGGACAACCCGAAAACATGATGCCTCCGGCACCACCTTCGGTGGCGGAGGCATAAAAAGGTTGAACAAAGGTTGAAAAAAGGTTGAAAGAAGGATAAAAAGGATAAAAAGGATAAAAAGGTGGAAAGGAAGAACTTTTAACTAAATGTTATTACCGGTAAAAAACTTATACCGGATATACCTTAGTGCTGTAGTCAAACGTTTAACCGTCCGGTATCCGACCGCCCATGGCGGATTCCGTTTTCAATTGGACGGTTTCGTTTTCCTGTTTTTTGTTTTTTTGTTTTTTTTAAAATAATTTTTTTAAAAATTTTTAATTTTTTTTTTTTAATTTTAAGTTTCGATTTATGCCCCTCCACCTGGCACTATGTCTGGCAATGTCTCCCAGCTCAGTAATCTGTGTGTTGACTCACCACTCCGAAACTAGAACAACACTCCAATTTGTCTGTCATCTTGGATTGAAAGTAATCTTTGTGATGTAGATCTCAATATGTAGTTTATAATAATAATTCATCCAACTTTTACACATGGCGTACCACAAGGTTCTATCCTAGGTCCTCTACCGTTTTTAATTTACATTAATGATCTTACACATTCTTCTAAAAACGACATTGTTACTATTATTTGTGACAAGTTCACAAGCACAAATCGGCTCCTTCAAATGCACCTCGCAGTTAAATGACAGAGTCAGTAAAAAAAAAAAAAAAAACTTCTTTTTTTTTTTTTTTTTAAATCGTTTAACCGAAAACCGTCCGGTTTTGACTGGCGGTTAAACGGAATTGGAGATATCCGTGATGTTACAGCACTAATATACCTAAATGCTGGCTATAATTAACCCAATTATTCAGATGAGAATAGCAAGGGGTATCAGCCTATCCGCAGCTTTAATAACCCCACCTGTGCGAACATGCCCAAATTAATCAAGCAGAAATGGACTGTCACCCTGCATTAGAGTGATGATCTAATTACATGTAAACTACCAAGAATGCACCGACTGGATAACCAGACGTTATGTGCCAAGACAGGTTGTGAATCTGGACAGTTGATTCTATTCAGTGTTTTGAAGAAGTTCACACACAATATTTCATAAATCTTTATAGATTTATGTTAGACAATATTGTAACAGATAACTATTTATGATCTTTACATTTGGTTAAATCCAAAAGCAACAGTGACAGATTTATTCATGTTAGGCATCCGAACACATAACCCCCACCATACTACTGAACATGTATTCACCTGTATCCACTTGTATTCACCTGTATTCACCTGTCTTTTCGGGCTCCTTAGTAAGACGTCTTGTACTGTGTTTGCTTTTTTTTTAATTTCATGGACTGACATTTGTATAATAATCTGTTGGATTTTGCATCATGTATAATAGTACATACTTGTACAGTACATGTGTATGTAGTTTTTCTTTGCCTATAGAATGCCGTAAGAGTATACAGTAAGTATAACTTCTTCGTAATCCCATTGAAATGTGCGTTATAGAGTTAACATACGTTTCATCACTTCCATGAGATGTCCACAAACTAAACAGGTTTCGAGAAACTGGCCCCAGGTGACAAGGTAGAGTTTTCTAACTTTTCTTTCTTTTTTTCTTATACCTGTATATATCTCTTTCTGGTTTTCCTTGAAATCTTAGGTGCTGTTTAATCAAATTTAGATAATTGATGAAAGCTGTAGATTAGTAATAGTAAATAGCTACACATTATACATGTACAATTGTATGTATCAAGAAAACTTTTGATAATGTACAATCATATTGCTCTTGTAAGGCACAAAAGTGTGATACAGTATGTATTTTTCATTTTTGTAATTGTTTGTACATGTAAATGTAATATTATCAAGTCTCCACTAAAAATTAAAATACATTTTCACAGCTATTTTTCATAAATGGAATAAAGTTGAAGCTTGAATTGCATATCCCAGAAGACTAGAAGAGATACTTACTAAATGCTTTATGAGGTCTGATGAGCTTCATCGTGAAATCCTCTCCTATTGGTAAATCCTTCAGCGCCCTCGCGACTTCATAATGCCGGCACCCAATCATTTCGGTAGCGTTTATTTTCACTATGTGATCACCAACCTCCACGAAACCATTCTTCTCCATAATCGATCCCTCTTTGATCCTCTTTACAAATGCGTAACCGGCACCGTTGTCTGTGATCGTAAGGCCGAGAGCTGCTTCCACTTTATTGACAGCGATTTCAAACTTCTGCCCCTTGATGTGTGCGTATATTGAATCGGAGAGACCGATCTGTCCGCCCAATAATTTGTCCATATCTGTCTTGAATGTGTTGAGTGTACAGAAGAGAATCTGTAAAGTAAAGAAGTTTACAAAGAGCAAAGGTATAAGTTATAGATAATGCACTTATTATATCATTTTATGCAAAGTGATAAACATGTATTGTAAGTTGTACATGTACAGGTGTACAAGTACCTCAGGTACATCGTTTTTCTTTGGCCATGGATGCAGTACATGTATGAAGGGGTGACCAAAGTTCGCGGACATTTTAGAACATATTATAAAATGTGATATTCGATCTATGATTTCTCATATTCTACACAAATTCATTTATTTCAATTATCACCAAACGGACGGCAAAGTTTTTTTTCTAAAGTTTACATGTACATGTACGTTCGACTAGAAAAATTTTCATCGAAGTATTTCAGAGATATCGCGATCTAAAAATTTGATGTTCGATCGTACGTGCGCGCTGCATCTGAAAAAGTCATAAAAACGACGAGACCTACCTGTACATGCACGGGGGTTTACAGTTGATTTATTAAATAATGTGATCCATCAAAAATAATATCATAATTTGAAAGGCAAGATAGACCTACATACAATCATTTGGAACCACTCTTTACTTACAATTTTGAGGAAATCTGCTCTCAAATTAAAGATTTTCAGACCTTATCGGTAAGTTGATAATTTTTCGGAACGGACGCAAAAGATTGCAAAATTTGCTGATCTTTTGTTTTGTCAATATTTTTCACAATTTCGTACCCAATTCCAAAGAAAATTTCATCTCTGGGTAATTTTATGTTCCTCTTTCCATTGGTGATATCAGATTTTTGAAATCTTACTGATTTGTTGAGATAGCGAATTTAGGTCCCGCACGAACTTTGGTCACACCACCTGATATATATTGTTAAAATTGTAAAACATAGACTAGAAATAGAATCTAGACCTATGTATTTTATTATCTTTTTGTTCTTTCTAGAGTCTAGAGTCTAGAGGCTCTAGACCTAGATCTAGACATTTCAAAGTAGAAGCTTTTTCTGAATAGCTCTCCATCTCTTTACAGTAAATTTTATATTTGTCATAATTTGTGTAGCCTGATTGTAGGAGAAATGTTGGAGGCCGAGGCCAAGGACATGACATCTCAATTGACAACGTCAACAAGTTGAATGACTGACTTCAGTGAAAATGACAAACTTTAACTTAAAGTTTAAGTTAATCTTGCATTCATTTTACCTCTGATGCAGGCATGGAAAATCCTTCTCCTATTTTTTCATAGAGTTCTTTAACATTTGTGAATCCTTCTACTTTGGCAGGAGGACTACCGTGAGCTAGAAATGCACTGAAAACAAGCCGTTGTGGTTTAGGAGGTGGAGCATTATTCATTGTAGACTGCTTTCCCGGTGTTGAGTGCTGACCGGCGGGAGCATCGGCTGGTAGCGTCGGCAGAGATCTGGACGATGGATCGTCGGCGTATGGTGAATGCGTTGGTGTATCACCGGCTCCGTTATAACTTTGTGCATTTGTAACGGGGTCCGCTAAACCTCCATTCTTTTTCTTATCTCCTTTCTTCTTGCTAAAAAACGGCATTTTGAATATTCCTCGTAAACTAAATAAGTAATTTCCAAGACAAAATGTCCTTTTGTGAATCTGTTTTGCATGCAAATCCAATTTATTTGTCCGGAAATTAATGTCAAACAGACTAGACGTCAGTAGCGAAATGTGTACTGGAGACGAGCTGCGCAAGCGCAGATTAGAAGTTTTGATAAAATGAGGGAATTTGTACGCCCACTCCTACTATATCAACAGGTGGAAGTTGAAATACCTTTTATATGTGTCACTCGACCGGTCCAGGATCCAAAGCTTGTTACCCCCTCATTCCTTTAAACATAAACTGTGATTTTTTTCTTTGTCATCCAAATCCTAGCTCTCTTTCCTTCACGTGATATTTCATTTGACAAAATGTCTTTGCTCATAAGTTATGATTGTTCTTTCTATCTTTCGTTTTCAAATACTTTTTTTTAGCTCTAATTTCTTCTCAATTAAGCCATTTCCTCTCTACTTTCCTTTGGACAGACTTTCTCTTCCCAGTGGGGTTGCTATGGGGGCAAGGGAGAAAAAGAACTGAGAACGAGGCGAGAGATAAAGGAAAAGGGATAGAGAATGTGAGATAGATAAGATATTGCTCGAAAAATGCTCTTGAAAGATTGTATTATTATATTGATCAACAACGTGGGGACAACATGATAAGTCTTAAATGAAATCTGCTTCAAGAGGTGCATTAAATGATGATCGAAACAAATGTTGTGGGGTGATCCGATTTGCGTCTTGGATTTATAGTGTACAGTGTTTACCCTAATAAAACCATTTTTGATAGCCGCGGCCCTATTTTTCATCGGCTTACCTCCAATCCTTTCCGGCAGGTAATAACTCCCTGAAAAGTCTCGCCTTTTAATGAAAATTTCAGCAACTTGTAGAGGAGGGGCAGCCCTTAATTTTGCAGCAATTTGCGCCCTAATCAGATTTGTAATGGCTTTACTAATGCCAGAGGAAGAAATGTCGCAAACAGTGTTTACCTCAATACAAATGATAACCCTATTTTTCATCGGCTTACCTCCGACCCTTTCCTCATGGCAGGTAATAACTTCCCCAAAAAGTGTTGCCTTTTCATGAAAATTTCGGCAACCTGTAGAGGAGGAGCAGCCCATAATTTTGCAGCAATTTGCACCCCAATCTGATCAGTATTTTCCTCGCCAGTGCCAAGGAAACAAATGTCGCAAACACTGTTTACTCTTATAATCCTGTTGATAGCACAATTTTTATCGGCTTACCTCCGACCCCTTCCTCGTGGTAGGTAATAACTTCCTCAAAAAGTGTTGACTTTTCATGAAATTTTCGGCAACTTGTAGAGGAGGCGTGGCCCTTAATTTTGCAGCAATTTGCACCCCGATCCGATTAGTAATTGCTTTGCTTATAAGAATGTGCAACAGGTACCTATTACAAAAAAGGGGTATTAATCTGAAGTAAAAGGGGGCATTTTTCCCATTTGAAAAGGGACACTTTTGGGGGGAAAAGTTGGGCACTGCCTCTGTTAAAAGTATATAACCTTTGAATGTTTAGTTTATTTAACAAAAATGAATATTTAATACCAAAAGACAATGAAAAGCTGACTTTAGTCATGGTAGGAGGGGGAGGGGGGCATATACAACTGCTTTAAATTCAATAGCCTTGTGTGTCACCTATTGAAATGTGCGAACAAGGCAATGATGTATTATATAATAAAATCATAATTTCTATGAGACATAAAATAGGGTATTCAAATTACCCTCGAGTTGTTTAAAAAAAAAATAGATACGATCATTCTTTTATTCCATTAGATTTCTTATGAAAATGACAATACCTCTCACAAAAAAAAAAATAGGTCACTTATTTATTTTCAGATTTCCCAAAATGTCTACAGAAGCAGTAAAAGCACACAAGATACATGGTTTACTAATCATACTTTTAATACACATAAAAGATTTCCACATTGTACAGTACAGACATACTTCAATATCTTCAACATAAATAGGATAAAAGTAAACAATATCCAAACTCGATGGATCTTTGACCGTGCGCTGTCAAAAATGATGCCTCCGCCATAGAACGAGTTTAAAAACCCAAACAGAAGCTGAGCAATTTTTCGAAATTCAAGTTTGATTGTAATCCATTAATGATCACGAGAACGGGACGTACAGACGGACAACCTGCAGAGCATAATGCCACTGGCTACTTCGTTGCGGAGGCATAACAAATTAAGCTCATATGGTTTGCATAAAAGTGATCATTTCTAGGTGCAATTTACATTGTTCTGTAATTCTGACCAACAAAACAATTAATGGATGCAGTACATCAGTAACAAAACATGACACACAGAAAAGAGAATAAACAACTGGCACAAATGAAAATCAACAAACTTTTCAACTGACACCACAACATTTGATAAATCATATATTGATCAAATATGTCATATTATTGGTTCATAAAATCTAAGTTTTAGTTTTCATGATTTGGCATACTAAATATCACGAATCATAAATTATCTTTGGATAAAATACTCTGGTGTTTAAAAAAATAGGCACAAAATATCTCAACTAAACATCTATTGTTATAACCATTTGGAAGATAGGTACTATTCTACCATTAAAATCAAATTATGTAAAATCAGTCACAGTTGTTTGTGAAGCATAGGGCGACATGTCTTTTAACATAGCTTGCATTTAACACAATGTTTTACTTAACATTTGGAAATATACCTATTCAAATATAGCACAGATAAAAATTGTTTATTAGTAACTTGAAAGCAGACTAGGGGGCTATTCTTACTTCATAAATATCATCCAGTTGATTATGTATAAATGCAAAATTTCAGACAGGATATCTAATGGCATCTTATGACTCACGTTTTAAAAACTAGCATACAAAGAGAAAAAGAGAGGGTTCATCTGTTTAATCCATCTGGCTTATATTGCTGAAAAGTTTTCTGATCCATCCATGTTACCAAAGATTAAAACAAAATCTTGGAGCCCAAACAAAAAACCGGGTACTCCACGGAATCTGCATAATAATATTCCTTCTACCCATACTAGGAATGGACGTTGCTCCTACCCATTAATTCCTTACTAATCAGATTATTCCAATATTTCCTTATGACTTGTGATGGAAAATAAAAGGAATGTTTTAAGTAACCAAACACTATCAAAACCTAGTCATCACAATTCTAGTCATGCAGATAGCCCTCTAACTATTTTTATTAAGACTATTGTAATCTCAGGGCTGTCAACTTTGGGAAACTGCTTGGAAGGAGATATTTTTTTTGGGGGAGGGAGAACATTTTTGCAACGACTCAGCCAGCCGCTGAATAAGCGGAGGAGGGGGGGGGGGGGTGGGGGGTAAGAGCACTTTTTTAAATTTTTTGGCAAGGTTTTTTCATAAACCGGGAGATTCTACATCGTTGGCGGGAGAGCGGGAGGAAGGCGTGGTGGCAGGAGTCTCCCGCTACAAGCTTTTGGGGCGGTGGGAGAATGAGCGTGGTGGCATGAGACTCCCTCCAAATGCGGGAGGGTTGACAGCTCTGTAATCTGTTCTTGTGACTTGCAGTGGAAGGCGAACATTAGAATGTCTCTTGCAGCAGGCAGTCTTTAAAAATCTATTTCACACAAGCCTACAGTGTAGGGTTCCTAGATTTATCTTACATTTAGTACCAATCATTGAAATTTAGTCCTCCGTGTGGTCTTCTTAGCTCAGACTATGCTCATCCGTTCGAGTGAGTGAGTTGTGAGCAAAGGTGAAAGAAACATTCCCTGTAGCCCAGACCCAGTCAAGCCAGTGAAGCCTGCGTTGTGTGTTAACGTGCCCCTCCCCTTGTTCATAGACGCAGGTTATGTCAAGTGGAAAACACTCCGTCCCTTGGATAGGACGTTAAATGGAGGCCCCATGTAGAGAAGAGTCACTACCTTTGCACGTTAAGAACCCACTGCACTATTCGTATAAGAGTAGGGGGAAACCCCGGTGTAGTGGTCCACCTGCACACACCCCCAGTATAATACGATAATACTCTGTAAAGAGGTCTGTACTCAAACGGAAGAAGAAGAATGACATGATCCTAATAAGGAAATGCTTCATGTTTTATGAAAAGAATCTTGCTAGATCTAGAACTTATCAGACTGTTCTAATCTGTTCATGAGACTTGTGATAGAGAACAAAAAACACATTCCTCATGACCCAGGCCCCTGTCATTATCTGGTCCTCATAATCTAGACTAAATGTTTCTTTAAACATTCTCGGCCCAGACCTTTACACTGTCTTGTACAGTTCTCAGATTGTCCTAATCTATTTATGTGACTTGTGATGGCAAACGAAAGACATATTCTGGGAGGCCCAGACCCTTTCAGGATCTGGTCCTCACAAATCTAGACTAAACGTTTCTTTAAACATTCTAGCCCTAGACCTTCACACTGTCATGTACAGTTCTCAGACTGTCCTAAGACACATTCTTGGTAGCCCAGACCCCTTTCATTATCTGGTCCTCATAAATCTAGACTAAATGTTTCTTTAAAAAATCTAGCCCCAGACCTTTACACTGTCTTGTACAGTTCTCAGACTGTCCTAATCTGTTCATGTGACTTGTGATGGAAGACGAAAGACACATTCTTGGTGTCCCAGACCCCTTTCAGGACCTGGTCCTCGATGCCACGTTTGTCTGCACAGTGGTTCCACTGGGATAGGTCACTGTTGCAATCTGAGTCATTGGGAGGAAGCCGAACTTGGATGTTGTTTATACATCTATTGCACTTGAACCTGGAAGGTCAAACACAGCAATAACAAGACATTAACGACTCAATTCAATATAAAAAGAATATTGGTCAAGCAACAAAATTGAGATACACTTGGCATATAAGCATTTCTTGTTTCTGTTAAAAAGAAAAGAAAAGAAGGGCCGAATTCTTATGGGCCAGAAAAGCAGCTTTGGAAAATATGCAAATGTGGAAGCCCTGAGCATGAAGTAGAAGTATGTCATCAAAAGCTTACTTTGAAAGGCTTAGAAATCAGAAAAATGTCTCTGATGATTAGTTTCTTACATTCATAATGACCTAAACCCTGTCAATCAATGTCAGTAAATGTACAAGGATCATCTGTAGTTTGCCAACCAGCCCTCATATATTTGTTTATAGTATTCATTTGTGAATCATGAAACAAGATTATTATCCACACAGGGCATAGATTTCCAGATGTTAATTATGAAATTTCATGTGCTTATTTGTGTACAATCTTCTGTCTATTTGCCAGGTCTCACAATTTGTCTTCACTCCTAGGTCAATCTTCTCAATAACCCAGTCTCTTATAAAGCGACCTGAGGTCAGAGTTCAGTCTGATCCTCCCCCGTCTCCACAAGCATATCTGAAGTCTTACTTGTCATGGGTGTCACTGAGTGTGCCCTCCTTGAACCGAAAGAGATCCTTGAGTTCATCCACGGAGAAATGCCTCTCCACATCCTCCTCATTGTCCACTACGCAACTAGAGAGGGCCTTCTTGTGAGCCTGTCGCTGGAAGATCTTCTCTTCAATCGTTCCCGTCTAGAGGTTGGTTGGAAGTTTGAGACACATACAAAAGGAGATATTAGAATAGACCCAAAAGTTAATTACAGATGTTGTAATTGTGTTGAATAGGATCAAACTATTACCAGTAAGGAAGGCCATTATGATGCTAGATTTTTTGGTTGCATATCTTTAGTCTGCAATAATAGTCTCAGATCCACAGTTTTCAAAACCATGAATTCATACATGTGTCTTTGTCAACCAGAGCATGCCATTTACACTAACAAATATATATTTGCCTATTTTTCTGATTAACCTGAATACCATGCACAACCAGCTATGCTTTTTATCCATAAAATCCCTGAATTACAATACACTTTGATTTTTAATTTACAATAAAATTCAATCAGCATGAAAACTACATCTTTCATTTATTAAATATCATTTCATTTATCTCTTGGAAAGATGCAAGAAGAGTGTTGTTCTAGCAAACTATCTATGGCGGAGTTAAAGGGACGTATCGAGTTGGTAGGCGTCTTGCGGGATGGATAGACGACATCACAAATTAGGAAGGTGGAAGGAGAGTAGCAAGAGTGAATGCGCGAGAGAGAAGTCAACGGCCCAGAGGGGCTATGGTATAACATAGTAGCTAACTCTTGTTCGGAGATGAGTTCCATTGTGGCTAACATTGCCATGGAGCTAACCCTTTACAGAGAAGCCCCTTGCATGCATCTACTGAGTGAGCTATATCTACAAGATTTGACCACCAATAATTCACTGACCGCTAGAAGCCTGTAGATGAAGCACCGTTTCTTCTGCCCGTCTCGCCACACCCTGGCCATGGCCTGGTCATCGTTGGCCGGATTCCAGTCAGGATCAAACATGACCAGACGATTGGCTCCGATCAGATTCAGACCACACCCACCGGCCTTGCTACTCAACATGAAGATGAACTCAGGACTCTGTGGTGACAGAGAGAAAGATAAAGAGAGAGAGAGAGAGAGAGAGAGACAGAGGGAAGAGAGAGAGAGAGAGAGAGAGAGAGAGAGAGAGAGAGAGAAAGAGGGGAGAAAGAGACAGACAGAGAGACAGAGAAAGGGAGAAATAATAATTAGAAATTTGTACAATGCACTGAAGCCTTTGGTGGTAAAGTGGAAAAGCTCAGGAGATGGGAAAAATAACTGAAATTCTTTTACAACTGAACTGGCTATCGTTCACTAAAAAAACATGCTCCATGGTTGCAAAAAAAGCTGCATTGTTTGTTTTGCTTTTTGAGCCTGTTATATGTTGATGGCGGTCAATACACAACTAAGAGGAGACGGAGTCGTGTGGGTATGTTTAGTCAGCCATTTATTCTGGTGAAGAGGTATCATTTCAATATCGATAATTGACATATCATAACAGAGCCCCTCTCAATGACAAAAGTAGTTTGGGCCTTAAAGCGACTTGGTAACATTGTTCGAATGAGAGAAAATGTTTTTAAGGTAGTGACTTCAATGCTAGATGTATAATTTTAAAAATCTGAAAGTTTGAGTGAAAACAGACCATTATTAATGATAAAAATTTGGGGAAACTGATCTGATCAATTCCTTAATTCTCCCAACTATATTATTACAATTGGATTACATTTTAGGTGAATGAAAAATGTCACAAAGCAATGAATTGGCTCTATATACCATTCCAGACATTTAAGTGTTGAAAGATTTTTAAAAGCCTGTCTTATATCTTATTTTCATGCAAAAATAATTGGGAAAATTCAAAAATGGTTGGGAGAATTTACTGTAAGAGGGTTGCACAGTGACGCCTTCAAAGAGAACCATAAATGTCTTTGTGGTTTGAGAATTTTTTTTTTTTTTTGCATGTTAGAGGGTAAGTACAGTAGAAGGAATATAATAAGTAGCATTTCATACAAAAATTACACAATTTTTCATCAACCTTTAACAATGTTACTAAGTCACTTTAAAACCGGTAGTGTGCAAAGCTTGTTTATACAATTTTTCCATTTCATTTATAACAAGGCAATCACCAGATGGTCCGAATTTAACATCCTTCCCTTTATCAAAATTCTATGAACAGAATTGATTTGCATCTGAGTAGAGAATACTGCTTTCTTACATTTGGATTGTTGAAGCTGTCCACCACTTTGGCTCTCTTTTTGATGGACATAGATCCATCTAGACGGACAAACAGATATCTAAAAACAACATAACAGAGGGAAAAACAGCAATGGCGTGAGAATTAGAATACTGATACAACATTTCAACCGGTGTGATATAATGTACCAGTTCGTAGATACAATCTGAGCATGCGCGGATTAATCGGCGCTGGCGCAGATAAAGGTCACTTGAACAAAATTGTAAAACCCACTGAGACTAATACTTGATACATGCTCACGAAAGTTATGTAATCATTATTCATGCATGCACCTGTGATGCATTCTATTGAACACAGGTGGAAGTAATCTTTTCAAGAGGGCAAACAAAGAATCACTTCCATGACTTTAGCTGTGATTATTCCAAAAGGCACAAAGTTGGATTTATCTATGTTTAAAAGATATGTGGATATTTGGGGTCATATTAAACCCATGTGCTAACTACGAACTGGTCTATTACTATGACATGATGACCCTTAATAATTTGAAACATAGTGGGAGCCTTTTTCCAGTAGAAGTGAGGAGGCGCAATAGCTCAGTGGTAGAATAGTGGTCTTGTAACCAAGAGGTAGCCAAGTATATGCTTGTGCCCTTTGGTAAGGCATTAATCCCCATTACCAAGTCCCTCGGAGAGGACTTAAAGCTGTCAGTCTCCTGGTTGCTTAATTACAAGCATATAATGTTTTCTTAGTAGTCAGGTAAAACAATCATCAAACATCAAGTACAAAAACAACGCTGAAGAAAGATAATAATACTTGGATTGCTAATTCTCCGTAGAACCCTAACAGCAAAACACAACATATCAATAACCATTAATAAATATTTAACAATTGATATGAAAGGAAGAGTACAGGGGGGCGTTTCACAGAACTTGTCATCAGTGACAAATGACAATTTTTGTTAAGCTACTGAAATCCTTGCTTCTGATTGGTTATCAACAGATTTGTCACTGAATTTTGATTATCCCCGCTACATCAGTCTGTGTTTGGACTTACCCTCTCAACCTACAGAGCTGCTCAAAGACATCTAGGGTTTGAGTGTAGTTAGATACCAAGACCACCTTGTCTGATGAGGATGTCTTGGTGATGGCAAGGATGTAGTCCAGCACCTGCATCTTCCCTGGAAGGTCCAATCATAATATCATTTTTAGATGGAGAGGAGGGGTTAGGGAAGGGAAATAATGACTATATTTAGATGGAAATCATTGTAATCTGCTCATAACTTCCATAAGTTTATGGTAGGATATGTAATGTTACAATTTGAATTAATTTTGCCCTGTCGTAATTGGAGTAATTTTTTTCTCTCCCCCCCCCCCCCCATAATTTATTAATTGAATAATATGTACATAAGAAACTCTAAAAAAAAAAAAAATTTAATATAAAACTTTAAAAAAAAAACATAATTAACATTTTTTTCCAGAGGTGTTACTTTTCAACATTTGCCCTCCATAATATTTCCTTTAAATAAATGTTGAACATGTTTGTAAAATTACATTTTCATTTTTGCGTATATAAAACATAAAAAACTTGTTAATTCCATCTAATAAAAACACCTTACCGGAAAGCTCTGGTCTGAGTTGTTTGTTGTTGTAGCCAGGAGGAAAGTTCTGAAGCATATCATGGAAGCCATCTTTGGAAGAAACACACTTGTCATACACAAGAGCAGGATCTGTAGAAAGAAAAACAAATAAATTTCAAATGGCCTTTTCATGAATCATGGTTCTCTTGTTAACATCTGCAATTCCCTGCACTCTGGCCTCAACCAGTCACCATTAATTTCATTGCTTTCAAATCCTTTTCCTAAATAATGCAACTCTTTTAAAAATTCAAACTGGTATCACGTTTTCATATAATTGTCATCATTGATCATCATTTACAAAAGAAATTCCCAGGTTTGCCAAGAATATCATATGCTTCTTATGATTTCTAACTGTGGTGACAGCATAGAAGATTATAGTTATACTAGTTTTACAGAGGATATTAAGAACAAAGATGGCATTAAAAATTTTCAGTTTGTCATATAGAATGATTGAGAATCTTCATATGATGGTATTCTTCATTTCTATTGAACAAGTGTTTAAATTTATGTGAATTGATAAGGTTTATTGATTAAAAATGAAAAAAAGAACAAAAGAAGGAAATGTGGATGATAGTAAAATAAGATTTTACAATTCTTGTTTATAAAATCACTCACGATTGCAGAGTTTCTTGAGGTGGGTGATAGCAGAGAGCGTAGAGACTTTGCCCTGAGTCTTCATCCGGCATTCTTTCATCATGGCCTTCACATACTGCTGATAAATACAGGACTGCATGGAGGTAAGTCTACAGCATACCACCTGCTCCACTGCAGAGATTGAAACATTATTAAAACCCACTTGAGATTCAGGGCTAAACACAAGACCATATCATTGTTATAACTTCCGGAGCCTATGACCTACAAGCATTGCTTTCTCTTTAGGCTCCATCATATTTCTTCCTTTATTTAACTTAGTCTTATGTATTATTCTTTTCATTTGTATAAATGCATCCCCCCAAAAAAATGATTACAAAAATGTAACATGCCAAATGTAATGATGTATTTAATATACAACATGTGAAATATGAAAATAAACTGAAACTGAAACTGAACTGAGTATTCAATTACCTGTGACAGAAATATAAGTATTTTACTCAGTTTTCAGCTAAGGTAGAATACTTTAATAGCCAACTTTGGTATTCAGTTGAAGCCTTTTGCTAAGTATTTCCCTAATATAGGCTTAAGCCAATTATTTTGGTGACCTTGATTGGCAGGATATGGATTTCACACGCATACTGCGCACAATTATGTTAGTATGCATTTAATGCGACAAGTATATTTTCTAAACAGCAATCTTTACATTATGGGAGACCAAACTTTAGCTGGATTAGCTGAGCACAATTATATTAACGCGCAATTAAAATCACAAAATGCGGCTTTCGGGTGTTTTTTGGGGTCCAATTGATCTTAATACTTACGACAGCAACTGGTCTGACCACTTACAAAAGCAATATTATGTAGGACCATTGGAATGGTTTTAATGTTCAGTGTAGTCCTATAACTCCCCATTATGTTTAGTGTTTAATAGCATCCACTGGACATATAAGATGTAGGACCATAGAGGATAAACAGTACTTCATGGAAATGGCCCCCTTAGCACTAATCTGTGAGGACCAACAAACTAAACAATTGTCTTAAAAGTTAAAAATTGTTTCTATACTAACAATGACCATAAAGAAACCATTAGAAGCATCAGTATTTATTCATCAATGTGTACTAAAGTGCTCAATTTTATTATCAGATGCTTTATAAATAGTGCAATGGTTTATGCTTCGTATACAATGGTTTTTACCTTTCACAGGCAGATATTTAGCTAGCAGAGAAGCTGAAAGAAAAGCAAACAAAAGATGATATTTATAGAGATTGTTACATGCTTGTATGATGTCCACACATTAAACCTTTCAAAATTTGTGTGAGATTAAAACCATAAAACACTTCATTTTTTAAAATAAAGAATATGATAAAATGCATATCGAATTACAGAAAAATCAATTCTCTACCAACATCAATTAAGATTAGGTATTGAACTTTCATGCTTGGATGGGCACATTCATTTAACCGTGATCGGCAACCGTTTGCAAGAAAAATGGATCCATAGATATACACAAGTATGGAGGTTAAATATATGTATGAAAGTTTAATCCATACAAAATGAAGGCATATGTGGCTATTCAAAAGAAAAGAGCTACAAAATCGAAAATTCAATTGAAAAGAAATAAATAAGACAATTAAGTTCATAAAAAAGCTCAGACCGAATTGGTAATAAACATTATACAACCAATTTCAAACTTCTTTAATTTTGAAAATTCAATTGAAGAAAAAGATGCATAAGACAATTTTGTTTAATAAACAAGCTCTGACCAAATCGGTAATAGACATTTATACAATTAAATTCAAAATGAAGGCATATGTGGCTATTCAAAAGAAAAGAGTTACAGAACAATTTTGAAAATTCAATTGACGAAGACAATGTTGTTTAATAAACAAGCTCTGACTGCATTGGTAATAAACATTACACAATGAAATTTACAAACTTGTTTAATGGGTTTTAAATTTGAATCCAATACATACCTGTCCTTCTGATAATGCACTTGTTCACTAATATGGCAAGCTAAGAAAGAGTGGAGAAGAGCAGGATAAAAAATGTTATAAAAGAAATTATGGTACAGGGTGAAAACTACAGGGCTTATGAGACGAGGGAGAAAGAGATCAAGAGGAAAGAGAGAAGACAGGACAAATAGAGGTAGAAATGAAGAACCCAAAACAAACAAACCAAGAGGGGAGGGGGGGGGGGGGGCAGTGGTAAGGAAGGTGACCCTGGACCCAGTTTCATAAAACTTGTTATCAATAGCAAGTTCCAAGAACTGTTACAAGCTACTGAAATCTTAGCATTTGATTGGCTGATAGCAAATTTGTCATAGAATTTTAGCATTTGTTATCGATGACAAGTTTTATGAAACAGGGCCCTGACTACTCTGTATCTCTACACATACCATAAAAGGCCACCATAGACGGTTGTCATAGATCTTAAACCAAGAGACTATTAGTATTGTACCTATATCATATTTCAGGCAAAACAGAGACTTTTTTTACAGTTTTAAAATATGATAAAATAATAAAGCAGATATTTCCCCTCTATACTGCCTACTTTCCTACACCTATCTGAACAACCCTCAAGGATCTAGATCCTTCTCAGTGAAAAAAATACACAGGGGCTCAGGGCGAAAAAGCCCCCGAAAATCAGAAAAGAGCCCCTGTAAATTTGCATAGAGTTCAATGCAAAACAAATTTTAGAGTTTAATTTCATGCAGGCAAGCTTGAAAAGTAGCCCCCCAAAAAATAATTATTTTTTTTTTCCCTGAGCCATCTCACCTGCTGCAGTTTCTCCTGTCCCCTCTGCTTCTCCTTGTCTGATGCACAAGAATCCCTTCCTCGTAGGATGGGGCTCTCAAAGTTCTTCTTAAACTCCTGGGCGGTGCCTAGATATGGAAAGAGGTGACACGTAATAAAACAAACATAATTCTACTCGTGACAGGGCTAGGGGCACACAGTTCTAAAGAAGTACAGGCTTGTACATGTATATATGAAGAAAAAAAGAAAAAGAAATTAAGTAATTCAAATTTTAGCACAATCTGCATAAACTGATGCACAGGAATCCCTCCCTATATGAATATCAAAGTCTCAAACACCTCAGTGCAATATCTATCCTACGTCTTTCCAGATAACTTGAAAGTTACTAGAATCATACCAGTTTAAAAAAATTGACAACCTGAAATAATGTCCAACTACCCTCCTATTTCTGTCTTGCTCATCTTTTATCAAAATGTCTTAATAGCTATTTACTTAAAGAAAATGTATTTTTTTCAAAAACTATTACAGAATATTATGACTATAAACAGAATTCAAGCTTGAATACCCCCTCTTGAAGAGTCTTTGGGTGATGCAAATGTCAGATAAGGACTTAACCATATGGGGAAAAGACAGAGCGTTACATAAAAAAGGTTGTTGGTCATAAAACTAAAGGCTAATCCTGGTGTCAAATTCCCCATGAGAGCTCCCTTCTTTGTGTCTTTCAAAACTCCTGCACCGATCTGAAGCAGACCCTTACCTAGAATGCCTTGGTTGACATAGTGAACGAGACTGAAGTACTCTAGAAGATCATTTTGGATGGGTGTCCCTGACAGCAGTACCCGCCTCTTCCCTGGAAGACCATTCAGAGCCTGGTAGGTCTGGTTCTCACAGTTCTTCAAGCGATGACCCTGCAAAGTTCATCAATCAAATCAAAATGGTAGAGTTTGACCCTTGAGAAAAGAAATTCAATAATGAAAAGCTGAAAATATTGTATTTCTTGGGAGGCCATTCAGAGCTTGGTAGGTCTGGTTCTCACAGTTCTTCAATCGATGACCCTGCATAATTCATCAATCAAATCAAACGGTGGAGTTTGACCCTTGAGAAAAGAAGTTCAATAATTAAAAGCTGTAAGGGTGTATTTCAGAGATATATTCCATGGAATTCATCTCCAGTAAAATCAAAGATTTGAGGGTATTTTTCTCAAACTTAAATCAAAGTTACGAGAATATCTCAGCATATAGCATCTCTCTTCCAATAAGCTCATGTGTGTGTGTATCTATAGGTATCTCACAAAAATAAAGAGTTTCTCACACAATTTTGCATTACAAAATTTCTTTTGGCAACATTTTCAAGTTTTTATATCCTCAGAAGGTTTCTATGGTGAGCAAACTTTTTCACTTAAGGTGACCATGTGGTGTTACCAAGAGCTTTAAATTATGAAGTCTTTTATAATTGAACTCGATGACTACTGAATACTCTAATGCCTTCATACAGGGACAACCTGGTTTCTGTAGGCAATGGTTTAAAATTACACAATATTTGTGCAATATCATCCCACGCAGTTCAGTCACGATATCTGCCAAAGGTGAATACTTGTTTCTATAAGCAAAATTCTCCTACCTCATCACAAATAACCAGTCCCACCTCCCCCTTGTGTAGGACCTCAGCATGTAACCTGAACGTCTCGTAGGAGATGATCAGAATGGGGGTGGGTGTCCGTCGACCCTGCTGCCTCATGAAGGAATCTACAAGAAATGGTCAGGTAAGGTAGGGCTAAAGCTTATACTGTGAAGCTACAGGATTCATGGCTGTTAACTGTACATGGACCACGTTTACTTACTACCTGATATAAACAATAGAGACATTTCTTTGAAATGGGGCATGTTCATGTTAGCTTCAGGATATTTATTCTGTTAAAAATCATTGCAATGCATGAATATTTAACAAAGAGAGAACTTTGAGGTCTGCAGTGCAGCATGTCTCTGTTTCTGTTGCGTCGGTATACTCAGGATTAACTTTACTACACCAACGTTTTGATTAGTATATAGCCGAGTATGTGCTATATGGCAGGAGAGGTGTTTCACATTTGGAGTTTATGCTTGTTAATCATAAGGTGGACAAATCGTGTTTTTTACAAAACATATAAGGTCATACATTAATGGATTTGTCTAAAAGTACATGATTAAGTTTGGTATTCATAACATATCTAAAAGGGATAGATTCGATAGAAGGGGAGTGTACTTTGTGTTTGCCCTCATGGTGACCATATGGTAGAACTACTCCCCAGGGACTAAAGAGGGTGCACACTCTGCATGAATAAATCCGCTGACCGGGATAAATAATATCTGTAAAGCGCTTATGGATGGTTTTCCAGTATAAATATTTAAATATATATATAAATCCAGACCTAGCTACTAGGTTAATAACCATTACAATGCACTTTTCAGTTGGCATTTCATACACATTACAATAAATATGATGATGATAGATAACTTACCCAAGTTCCTATCAATCTCTTTCTTAGTACCAGAGTCGATGGCCAAGGGGTTAACCTTCCCTCCGAGCCACTTACGGATCTCATTGTACCAATTCTTGTTGGGGGAAAAAGCAAATAAAAAAATGTTTATTTCTCATACTCAACATGCACATTATTAATTCATTAGTGAACGTTTCATTAAGCATTAATTTCATAGGAAGACTAGCAGGATGAATTCGCTTATAAATTAAAACTGGATGAGCCTTGACTGTAAGAGTTCAAACAATAATCATAATGATAACTATTTGGAGTAGCAAAATCCATTATACTCTGAATTAAAAGCCACAGGCCTACTTGAAAACGAGCTTTAAAAGAAATAGGGGTATGGAAATCTTAATGCTGATCTTATGGGTACCAATCGCCCAAATATATTTTCTTCTGTATATTAGTACTTCCGTCTTCCGGCTGGTAATACTATATTTTAAAATATGAGCTTGATGTATATTTGTGAAAAGAGATTTTTGCAAGTTTAAATACTCTCAATTAACATAAAAGCGACTTGTGTTCTGTGTGCAGTTTTATGTTGTTCTTTATTTTCTTCATGCTCCTTTATCCATTACCACATAGAATGCAAGGTGAACTTTTTTGGGGTTGATTTCAATTTTATGCATTCTAGATGTACACTAATTATTTCTTAGGTGATTGGTACACTTTCAGTAGTTCTTCTCCAGATATATTTAGAACATTACTATAACTAGCCCTTCAAAAACAACTTCCACTATCAGAAATAAATGCAAATTCAAAACTGGTGAAAATCCCCTTACAATATAAGAACATGATTAAAAAAACAATAATAATAAATAAATAAATACAAAGATAGAAAAAGTTGTTGTGCAAGATAATACCAACTCAAGTCTGCAATGACAAAACAATCTTTTCAAAATGACCAAATCTTTATACATTATTTTGTTTAAAGGGTGAAATCATATTTCAAAGCTGTTTATCATAATTTTCATTTGCAAAACATTCAAGATGAAATTCCCTACCCTTTTTACACATTATCAAAGCTTACCTTTGCATTTTTTCAGCTAAATAATACTTTTAAAAATCTTACTCAGCCACATACCAAATACCAAATAATGAACAAATATTTGTTCATTTTGAAAAGGTCTAAAATAACATTTGATGTTGTTTTTGTGATTCTTACCTTAACCAGACTAGAAGGTGCTACAACTATTACTTTGTCTATTTCAGGTTTACCTAATGGTGAATGACAAATGCAGGAATATATTACAAAGTGTGGATATAATTAGAGTGAAAACTGAAGATAACTGTATTTGAGAGTTCGTTTTGTTATGATTCTCACACCAACTTACTAAATAACGTTCATACTACTACATATTTCTTTGTATTTTGGTCTATTATTAATCAAAAGTTATGACACTGTTATAAATTACAATGTCTTTATGCTTGCAATTTTATTGACAAATCACCCCCTCATAGTCATGAAAACTCAAAACATTAGGATATATGTTATTACAGGGTGTATGTTGTTTTATATGAGATTTTTAGCTATACCGGTATGCACTGCAGTATAGTTTCCCCCATAAATTTTAAGCAAATGTGAAATCTGAGTCAACTATTACTACAGAAATTATCAGGAGTAACACTTTCTGATTTGACATTTAATTAAAGTCTGTGATACTTCAATGAAAAAACAATTTGAATACCTTTTCATGCAAATGTGAACTACACATTTTAAGATAATAAGATGTTTTTCATCAAGAGTTATGCAAATATTCAAACAGTAAATGAATAATGTGAGAGGGAATTCTTACAATCTGGACTCTGCCGTAATAAGGTCCACATCAGCGTCACACACTGCAATGTTTTCCCCAAGCCCTGCAAACAAGATACCGGTATAAAGACTTTTTTTTATGTTGCAATTCCAAACTATAGCCTATTCAGGTATCAACAGACAGCTGGTCACACAAGCAGTCCCTTAAGTAAGTCCCAAATGGGCCAATCTGAGTTGCAGCTCAGATGCAGCTCAGCAAAAACTAAACATTTTTTACATGTGTAATATAAGTCATGAATATAACTCTGCTGGTAGAGATTGAAGTCTTCTGAAGGAAAAATGAATTATTAAGTACAGTTTGAAATTTAACTTTTTAATTATTTTATTTTTTCAATGTGAATTCGTTCTAATAATCAGAAGGGATGTCTGAAGCATCAGTACTTCAGTTCAGGGCGAATAATGAATAGTGTTCTATTTGGGAGATCTCACATTCATTTAAACATTTTCATTGGTGCTTACGAAGAAGCAGGGTTTATAAAATTGTTATCTCACCATTTCATCAGCCATGATGCATCCAAAACTGCCCTCTATTCTTCTTCCAGTAACACAGTCCCATAGAAACTTGACACCCTTTACGTGTGGGTGAAAGAGAAGACAGTATCATTGAATTATGTTTAACCCTTTCGCGACAATCAATTCACATTTTGTGGTTTGGCTTAATAACTTTAACTCAGAGCCTTAAAGAAACACCACATCCACGAGTAGGAAGCTAAAAAGTTTCTGCACACACAGCAGCAACTTTTGTTTCATGACTATACTGTATTTGATGCTAGGAATTTAAAAAAAGGAAAATAAGCTTTACAATCCTCAAAGGTAATACAAGGTTTTGGGAAATTATGAAAATTGGGTGGATAGGGATTCTTTACAATTTTGATATATATGGATGCCCCTGTGGATGTATTATAAACGCTAGCAAATTTAGCCCCTAAAATACTTCTGCTTTCGAGAAAAATTGAATATAAATATTTACCGGTACTCCCGGTAAATTTTGATAAATTTCAAATAGCGCCTACGGACGTACAATGGTAGCTGCTACCATGAAAACCTCAGAATATGTAGTTGTGATGTATAATTTCCAAACGGGAATAGCTAATCGGTCGATTTTAGTCAAGAAACATCGTTTTATAGCTTAATTAATATCTTGACCTTGAGAGGGAGCTATAAAACATAAAGAGTTTATTATTTACAATTTCATAACATTAGACTAGAATTCAACGATCACTGCATATTGTAGGGTCGCATATGCTTCCAATATGTTCATTTGAACCAAATTCATGACCCCATACCAAAACTTTGTATTACCTTTAAATTTACAAGGTTCATAGCCATTGTGTTTCTATCAAAATTGGTAATTTGTTCAACTTTTCAACAGCGTTCTTGCTCATCTATATTGTTTTCAGAGATATCACATATTAATTGAACAATGTAGCAATAAAAGAAAACTATGTGATCAAATTAGCCCTAAATATAAATCCTGTCCTGAAAGGGTTAAAGTGTAAGCATGAGTAATAACAGAGGTACAAAAATGTTGGTGAACTTAATATACTAGTGACGGTTTCATAAAGCACTGCCTTGCAGAAAGACAGGGATAGGCAGGAGGCAAGGGATAGCAATACAGGGAGGGGTGGCAATTGGAAACCTTGGAAAAAAAAATGTATAAGAAAAGAAAACTATTAAAGTAAATGAAATGAATGCTAAGAATCATACCTCTCGCTGATGGGGTCGTAACACCTTACTCAGTATGGGATCCACTACGACTGAAACATATAGACAAATTGTAAAGATTTTGTATTACTTTTAGGTACTGCATATATATCATAGGGGTTCTCAAACTTTTTTCTTCACAGTTCAGGGCCATTAAAGCATTTTGATTGATCTTAAGGTAACTATTTAACGTAAGTCTATGGCTCAGCATGTTTTGATCAAACTTAAGATCAATCATAACTCTTTATAATGCGCGGTCCAGATGTGATTTCCAAGAAAGCTATAAGGTCTGAAACAATGGGCAAATCTTGTATTTTTGTTTCTTTTTGTATGTTTTTTACATTGTAAGTGCTATGGAGTATGGTAATTCATAGCAAAGTATAAATGATAATTATTATAATACACTACTATTGCCTTTTTTTTTGAGGCCGCCATCCTTGTCAAGCTTTGCTTATGATTGCGGTCTCCTGCACTTTTCCAACAGAATAGTTAGGATAATACTTTAAATTTATAATAATATGTTATGAAAATATTGAGTTTCATTATTATATGTACATATATTATGTAAAAAAAAATTTGACAAGAAGAAATTATTGTTTGTATAATTATGTTGTATTATACCTTACATTTATAATTTTTATATGTTCTTTGTTATTCAGTTATATTATATTTTGAAAAATGCAAAAATCAAATCAAATCAAATCAAAATCAAATACACCCTTACCATGGACAGGTTGTTTCTCTTTATCAACAGACAGCTGTTCATGAGCACTCAGCTCCGGTGGGGAGAAGAGAACCAGGGCTCCCTCTTCTGTTGGGTCGTGGAGAGGTTGTCTGACACCTTGTCTGCGCATTCCCAGCCCCCTTGGACCTTCAGTGGCTAATTGTATCAAAGATTGTGAATATTGTGCACTAGAACAATCTTGCAAAAAAATGAATATACAGGTACCTTACTAAAACTAAATATTTTTCTGTTGTTATACTAATTATGGTTGATATTGGCTTTTGTGTGAGGCAGTAGGAAGTAGTTACTATTGTTTGAAAAATACCAAGTGTTCATACAATTACATAGAATCATGGAAAAGCCATCTTAAACTATGGAAATAAAAACACAGAATGAGTAAATCATTTTCCATATCCAAGTGCATACATTTATATGTATGCTAATGAAATACATCATACTTTCCACAAAAACTTCTGCACAAGTGGCTTATTAGAATAAGCCATTATTCAAAATTGCACAAATCACTTGAAATTTTCTTCTCTTTGAATGGCATGCTTACCTTGGTAGTTTAAAATTGGCACTTTGAATGGCTTGGACAAAATCTTCTTGATCAAGGCTTCCTGTAGAATAGAGAGATTAAATCAGAAAACAAATCATTTTCACATAAACATTTTGCCAAAATAATAAATACCCTTCATACTTTTTTTTGTTCTATAAGCAATTTCCTCTTTTTTTGCTCCATACCTGTTTTGAACTCTCTTATCTTTTAATAAATCTTGCTTCTTATATCTTCTTTAAATATCTTCCTTTGTCTTCCATTGTTCTTTCTTTCTTGAGATACATATAGGTATGCTGCCTTATAACTTAACCCAAACAAGACAGTATAAAAGTCACCTTCTATTCAAAGAAGATTCTTTTTCCCCCTTCATATTCTGTAAATAATATGACATTTCTTAAAATATTATACAATGTAACTCTTCTTTTTTGTGTTTGTATTTGTATTTTTTCTTCTTCTTTTTCTTCTTCTTTGGTGCAGTCTGCTTCCTTCAAACCTGAAGATTCTTGCTTTCATGCCATTGTACTTTTCATTCTTTTCATTCCTAAATCACTCTGGAAGGAGTTTAAGGCGCTTGATTGGAGATGCGAAGGATCGAGGGTTCAAATCCAGACACGGCACTAATATCCTTTGGCAAGATATTAACCTGCACTTGCTACTCTCCACCAAGGTGTTAAATGGGTACCCGGTAGGATGCGACCGTCATTGTTAGTCAAATAGTTTTGAGCGTCAAGTAACGCATGGCTGGAATGCTCCCCAGGGAGTGGAGATTGTGCACACATTGTGTGCAGGCAAGTTTTGAATCCAATGACCGGGGTAATAATATATCTGTAAAGCTCTTAGAGACATCATAGATGTATTAAGCACTATATAAAAGCGGAATTATTATTATTATTACTAAACTACTTGAAGAAGAAAAGACATTTCCACCTACATGATCACTCATCCTGCTTGATCTGTCTCCTCCATCCTGCACTGATGTCCTGACTGCCAGGGGTTGCCTCATCCTACACATGCCTGGAGGCAGTCCCTTCAGGTGGCTGGTGCGTTGCGTCCCTCCTGACCCATTGAGATGTGCCTTCTTCCTACTAGACAACTGTAACAAGAGAAAGGCAATTATTTTTATTTAAAAAAAATTAATTGCACTGTCCAGTCATGAAGCAGTTAAATATATGATTATCCAAATACCAAGAATCTTGCAAAACTCTTTCTCAAAATGAGGTCAACGACAATACCTCACTTCAAAGGCTATCATTCTGTCCCCAAATAGGCTCATATCACATCTCCTCCTTTTAGTATAAAATCTTCCACCTGCTCCTCTGTAACAAGAGAAAGGCAATTCTTTTTATCTAAAAAATCAGGTGCACTGTCCAGCCATTAGTGTCATGCATGTAGAAGTCAGATACGATTATCCAAAATTATACCAAGAATCTTGCAGAATTACTATTTGTCAAAATGATCAGGTCAACGGCAATACCTCACTTCAAAGGCTTTCATTCTGTCCCCAAATAAGGCGCTCATAACTCCTCCTCTTCATATAAAATCTTCCACCTCCTCTTTTTTGCAAGGGGAGGTAATAAAATATGCTAAGGCAGATTATGATTTCATTTTTCCTTTTTTTCTTTAGGAGGAAATACTGTTACCGAACATGGTGAATCAAAGGCTTACTTGAACTGTTCTGGCTTCTCTGGTTGACTCTCCATCTTCTGTTTCCTTTCTCTTTATACCAGTCCCCAATGCAATCTGACTGGGAGCCTGTCTTCTCAGCTGGAAAGATAATTAACATCATTAACATCCAAAGACGGCATTGTCATGGTGACAGTCTAACTAAATTTACTCTAATTTTTTATTTGTTACAACTTACAGAAGTGAACAAAAAATATTGCTTTTCTGAAATGATTATGATAAAATGATAGAACTATCTTACCCAATAATGAATTTCTATTTCAAGTGAATTACTAATTAAGATGTTTTTTTAACTAAAGTCTTAAAGACAAAGAAATGTTCATAAAGATTTTAGAAAATAAACAAACTCAAAAAAAAGTCTCAAGTCATTAGACATGCATGACTCATTCCATTCTAAAAAAGTAACAAATTAGTTATGATTTTTTTCACTGCATGAAGTATTTCACTTAATTAAAACTTATTTTTATTTTACTTAACTATTTTTTAAGTTTGAACAATTATCATTTTCGTCATATTTAAGGTACAAACTGGAAATTTATTCTACGATGTTCGTTGATTTTTCTATTTTATGTGTTTGCAATGCTGTGTGTGCGTCAGTTAGTCTATGTGTGAAGTGCGTCACCTGTTTAATGCAAGGGTCACTCTGTGGCCTGGACCCACCCTCCTCAGGTCATCACCTTTCTTCACCTGAGCCAATTATTTGTAACCTCAGGGTTTCACCATCACTTCATGTGCTTTACAAAAAACAAAGGCAAAGCATCACTCTTATCAGCAAATGTGTTAGTCCAGGCTTCACCCTTTGAATTATTTGCATAGGTGATGCTTCACTTTTGTCAGTTTTACATAGGTGAGGCTTCACTTGTGTCAGTTTTCCATAGGTGAGGCTTCACTTTTGTAAGTTTTCGGCCGGTCTGAAGCTTCACCACTGTTTCACCATACTGGCCATTTGCATAGTTCAAGCTTCACCACTGTTTCACCATATTCGTAAGGCTTCGACTCGAGCGCACGGCACTGCTGTGGCGTAATACCTTTGTGGAATACGTCAACATTGAAATCTCGCGAAAATATAGGCTAAGTTTTATGCACAGATTTCGTTAATAATCAATCGTAAAACAGGGTCGGAGTAGTACCGTCTCAAAATGATCGGAAAACTCTGAACTTTCTATTTTTTTTCAACTCACCTCGCAAAAACTTGGGGCCAAAACTTGGCACGATCTGCGCTGCGCATGCTGGGTACAATACCGACAGCTCGTAGGCTACTAGTCTCGTTTCCAGACTTGAGGCTGGCCTTTCAGGCACGTATACTGCGAATACTCACGCAACTAGTTATGTGTAGGAGACTAGTAGACTACTCGAAAACGATCTCGTGAAATCTCGAAATCAGTTTCGCTGGAGAAAAGTTCGGTGACCTCAGGACGATCACTCTGCGAGTGCATGAGTGACCGGAATAAAAATTAAATAGTTGTTTTGAAACGCACGATTTCGACATGATTTCGACATATTTTCGACGCGACCGGTAGTGGCTTCGATGTCACATCACCTGAACAAACAAGGCGACCGATTGGATTCGATGTCACATCACCAGAAAAAACAAATTACTCGTCAAAGCTTCACACATTTCATCAATTTGTATAGTAAAGCTTCACCCAATGAAGAAAAACGAACGTTAGGACTTCACTACAACAACAAATAGGTCAGGGTCAGGCTTAGGCGTCGAGTCGACGTCGATATTTGGCGACCTCTGAGGAGGGTGGGTCCAGGCCACAGAGTGACCCTTGCATAAGGCAGGACATGTCAAAATCTCTGTGGTGTGACGTAATATTAGGTATTAACTTTGCCATTGAACTTAAGTTGCGCTTAAAGGAAATACAAAGTTTTGGTATGGGATCATGAATTTGGTTCAAATGAACATATTGGAAGCATATGCAATCCTGCAATATTCAGTGATCGTTGTCAGGGTTGAAATCGAGTCTGAAGTTATGAAATTGTAGATAAAAAACTCTTTATGCTGTATTGCTCCAAGATCAATTTATCAATTCAGCCATAAAACAATATTTCTTGACTAAAATCGATAAATTGGCTATTTCCGTTTGGAAATTATATATCACAACTACATATTCTGAGATTTTCATGGTCGCAGCTACAATTTTATGGTTGTAAGCGCTATTTGAAATTTATCAAAATTTACCGGGAGCACCGGTAAATGTTGATATTCAATTTTACTCAAAAGCAGAAGTGTTTTAGGAGCTAAATTTTCTAGTGTTTATAATATGGTGGGGTGACCAAAGTTCGCTATCTCAAAAAATCAGTCAGTAAGATTTCGAAAATCTGATATCACCAATGGAAAGAGGAACTTAAAATTACCCAGATATGAAATTCTCTTTGAAATTGTGTATGAAATTGTGAAAATATTGACAAAAGATCAGCAAATTTTGCAACCTTTTGCGTCTGTTCCGAAAAATTATCAATTTACCGATAAGGGTCTGAAAATCTTCAATTTAAGAGCAGATTTCCTCAAAATTGTAAGTAAAAAATGGTACCAACTGATTGTATGATGTCTTGCAACGCAAATTATGATATTACCATATTTTCGATGCATCACATTTTTTGATAAATCAACTGTAAATCCCCGCGCGTGAAGTTAGATCTCGTTGTTTTTATGACTTTTTTAGATTCAGCGCGCACGCACGGTCGGACATCAAATTTTTAGATCGCGATATCTCCGAAATCCTTCCACAATAATTTTTTTTAGTTGAACCAATCTGTAGCAAAAAACCGTGCCGTCCATTTGGAAATCATTGAAAAAAATAAATTTGTGTAGAATATGAGAAATCATAGATCGAATATCACATTTTGTAATGTGTTCTAAAATGTCCGCGAACTTTGGTCACCCCTTCATACATCCACAGGGGCATCCAAATGAAGTCGGGCTAACTCGGACCAGGGGACAACTCGGCCTAGGTACAAAAACGGTCAGTTTTTTGCATGTTTAGGTTTAGGTTTAGGGTTAGGTTTAGGTTGGGTTAGGGTTAGGGTTAGAGTTAGGGTAAAATGACAAAAAATGACCGTTTTTGCAGCTGGGCCGAGTTGTCCCCTGGTCCGAGTTAGCCCGGATCCATCCAAATATATCAAAATTGCAAAGAGAATCACTATCCAGCTAATTTTCAAAATTTACCAAAACTTTGTAATACAAAGTTTGTATTACCATTCAGTTAAGTAGGCCCTCCCTCACTCAAATTCGAAGCCACTCGAGCGGATCGGCCAATGTCATCAGCATCAGCATCAGTATACGGAAGTGTGAGGTGATCCTGTTGAAACTTCCGGTCGTTTCATTGAGTGGTGCTTCGTTCGAAAAAGAACCTTAACTATTTTTGCTCGCATGGCGGGTGGACGCACAAACAAATTTTATGGAAGCATTTGGTGCTGAGAGGACCAGTGCTTGTCCAATCTAATCTTGAAAGAAGTGATTGAGGATGAGGAGATGACAGATGTAGGAAGAGTACTATTCCAGGATTCTACTACTCTCTGACTGAAGCTGTTTCTTCTTAGGACTGTGTTGCTCCTTTGCTTATACAGCTTCTGGTGGTGTCCCCTTGTAGCTTCATGAGGAGCAGATGTGAAGAAGGCTGCAGGATCGGAGTTTACGAGTCCGTTCATCAGCTTGTAGACCTCAATCATGTCGCCTCTTATCCTTCTGTATTGCAGTGAATACATTTTGAGGTTCTTAAGTCTGTCTTGATAGGATAGGTGTCTGATCTCGGGAATTAACTTTGTTGCTCTTCTTTGCACCTTCTCAACTTTCACTGCTTCAGCCTTAAACCTTGGATGCCAGATGACATTCCCATATTCAAGAAGAGGGCGAACAATGGTCGTGAACAGGATTGGTAATGTGTCTCTTGATATTCTTGTGAAAGTTCTCTTTATATCCTAACGTCTGATTGGCTCTTTTAACTGCAGTGTCAATATGTGTATGAAAAGTCAGCTCATCATCTACCATGACACCCAAATCCTTTTCTGCAACAGTTTCTTGAATTATTTGGTTGTTTATGCGGTACAATGACTTGGTGTTACCCTTTCCAATGTGCATAACTTTGGTTTTTGCTGAGTTGAAGGTGAGTTGCCACGATTTGGCCCAGGAAGCTGCTTTGTTCAAATCCTCCTGTATTGAGTCTCGTTGGGTTGATGTACTAACTTCTCCATATATCTTGGTATCATCAGCATAGATTTGAATGCCGTTTCTAATCTTGCAGGGCAAGTCATTTACATAGAGGACAAAGAGTTGGGGCCCGAGGACGCTACCTTGAGGCACGCCGCTGATCACTGTAGTCCACTCTGAGAAGTCCCCTCCAATTGCAACCCTCTGAACTCGTCCTATCAAAAAGGCTTCGATCCACTTGAGAACCTGGTGCTCGATGCCGTAGGCTTGGACTTTCTTCAGGAGCCGTTGGTGAGGCACAGTATCAAAGGCCTTACTCACGTCTAGGTAACACACATCTATGGGTTTCCCTAGGTCTAGTAGTCTAGTCCAGTCTTCCATTTGTTTCATAAGTTGTGTGCAGCATGACCGGCCGGGAGTGAAGCCATGTTGGGCATCATGTAGTATGTCATTGTCGATCAGGTGGTCCATTACTTCATTCCTTATAATGGACTCCATAACCTTGCCAATAGTAGAGGTTAAACTTATTGGTCTATAGTTACTAGCAAGTTGTCTGTTGCCTTTCTTGTGGATAGGAATCACGTTTCCCGCCTTCCAGTCCATTGGCAGGAATCCTTCACTTAGGGACCTTTGGAAAATAATTGCCAGTGGGCAACTTATCTCTTTTGATAATTCCTTCAGCACTCTAGGGTGGAATCCATCAGGACCAGCAGATTTGTTTACATCAAGTTTCTTTAGCTGCTTTTCCACTATTTCTTGCGTGATTTCCACCGTTGATAAGCATGGTCCATTGTATTGCCACACTTGTGCAGGCATATTAATCACGTCTTCTTTGGTAAAGACTCTTGAAAAAGTGGCATTGAAGGTCTCAGCAATGTCATTGCTTGCAGTTACTTGCTCACCGTTCTCTAGCACAAGTTCGTCTATCCCTCTCCTTGCCTTGACTCTGGAGTTGACATAACGCCAGAAGTCTTTGGGATTCTGCTTGATGCTGTGAGTGATGTCCTTTTCAAAGTTTATACTGAGAGTTCTTGTCAAGCTCCGTAGAGAGTTGCTGACATCTCTATAGTATCTGTAGTCATTTTGATCGAGTGTCACTTTATATCGTTTCCAAGCCCTGTGTTTCTTCTTGCTCAAGGCAATCGATTCTCTGGTTGTGTAAACCTGTCTCTTCTTCCTCCGACTTGTGGGTCTTGTCTAGATTGAGAGTGCGTAAACTCACTGTACTGTGTATGGTGGTGTGACCAAAGTTCGCGCGTGACCAAAGTTCGCGTACTAACACTAAAAGCGCTTATAACAGGAGAACGATACGCGATGCCTGTGTGGGACTGAGACAACGAAATCTTTGAGCACCGTCGACAACTCCAAAGGTCAAAATGCGGCCTAAAAATGTGAATAAGCTAGCTTTTTCACGCTTTTTATCATAACAAATTGTGTTTTTTTTACATAAAAATCAGTTTATTAGAGGGATCGACTCCGAAAAATAATGATAAAATTCCAATTTCTTACGCGAAAAACGGAACCTGCGCGCCTGCTTCCACCGTATCTGTGTTTGTGAATTTCACTGAATCTATGGTTCGTAAGAATACAAATTTAAAAGGGGAAAGAGGAGAGACAAAGAGAGAAAAGAGCGAGAACTCGTGTATGGCTGACATATAAAATGGAGACACATGATCATTTTTTCAAACAAACAAATGACATGCAGATAGGGACTACATTAACATTAACACATAAACATTGAAAAATATTGTCTTTTATTTGCAAAATTTAACAAGGGTATTTTTATCGGGCAATATTTCAATGATAGAGAGAAATTATTATATTTTTCAAAGTTTCAATATAAAGTTCGGCTTCTGATTGAAACTACGTAACTTTTTGGAATGTTTACATATATAAAGCCCATCACAAGAGGGCAGTAAAGATCATGCGCGAACTTAGGTCACACTTTTTGACGGACGGCGGTAGTGGTAAGGCTTCCGATATTCTCGTCTTATCATTGATTTGAAGTAAATAAAGCCTTGGAATGTTATATAATCTGATTATATGATAAATTACGAATCTTATGACGTATGGAACATGATATATGTTGATCTGGATTTTTTGAAATATGCAAGAAAAGAAAAATATCCGCGAACTTTGGTCACCCCTTCATACAGCGCTGAGTTCAATGACAATGCTCAAAGTTCTCCGTGCTCTCAGCTCAGTCTCACTCCTCCATTCAACAAAAACTATTCCAGACATCTACCCCCCAAAAATCACTTCGGCTGAACCCTGGAGTTGAGATTCACCTTAAATCGACTTCACTTTCACTCAGCCTAGCTCTCGCCCGGGCACCTACAGTAGCTACGGCTACGCACCCGACAGCCCCGCCGTCCCGGTGGCAGTGTTTCTTCCTCGACTCGGCCTCGGGCTCTCGCGATCTCGCGTTAAAAATAAATGCGTTTCTAAATCTAAAGCTCTTACCATTTCAGAAGCCTTCTAATTCGTTACTGCAGCAGCAGCGACAATGTCATTCCCGTACTTCAATACTGAGCATCAACAAAGTCCGATCACTTTTCGTTAGGATTGCTTTCCATCTTTATAGACCTCATGACTTTGGACAAAATTCCTAAACATTCGAACGGAGCGCGCGCTTGTTCTAATTCTATGGAAAGCCAATTGTAGACCAATATCGGATTGTCGCCACAAACAGCGCAACCGGCCATATCCGAGTGCACCTGTGTTGTTGATTGTTGTTCGCTCCGACTGTATTTTTTTTTTTTACCGGTAATATGTCTTCTGCTAAAACTGTCGCCACAGAAGGGGGTGTAGATTGTCAACATTCCATTGTTAAGAATGAGTCAGCCAAATACTTGTGTTTCACGTCGTGCGACAAAGATACATGGATTATTCAGTAAGCTTCTTTTTTTTCTCTCCAAATCCACACATAGGTACGGTACGGTACATTACGGTACCGTACCGGTACTATCCTGGCTGTGTATTAAAAACTGTGCTAATGATTCTCAACATTTCAAATACCACTGTACAAAACTCAACTGATTTCACTAAAAATCAGTACTTTAGTGACAATTGATGAAATCTAAATAGCAGTGAAATACAATTTTTTTCAAGTTACCGATGTTCAAAAGAATAATTAAAAAATTCAAATTGTAAGTCTACTGTCAAACTTGCCGATCAGCCACATCGGCATTAGTGTGTGCATTGTGGTGTTATAAATGTATTGACTATTCATGTATACAAATGCTGGCTATTAACACGTAGTGCAGTGCTAAAGGTCAATACGCATTAGCATTGACTCTCGACGCTATGCTTTGCTGGAAAGCTTGAGTGTCCAAATGCAAATCCAATGTTCTAGAGTGGAATTAAAGAAAAAAAAAAATTAATCTCGATGTCGACAGAGTAAATAGATTAATGTTATTTTATTTTGGCGCTAGTTCAGAAGTCTAGATCTATCCAGACTGGAAAAATTAACAAACATTTCAGAACTCTGGAGCTCTGTTTACTCGTTAATAAGGAGAACAATATCATCAGCAAATGCTATGACACCTACATGTACGTAGAGGTTCCTGATCATGCAACCTAGATGGCATTCTCTCAGGAGCTTGATGAGGTCATCAATGTAGAGTGTGTAGAGCGTGGGAGATAAAACACCTTCCCTCATCCTTGTATGACATGAAAAGAGGGTCCTACAGAATGGTCCCAGAACACCTTGCTTGAGCAGCTGTTGTAGAATTCTGCAATGGTATGCAGCAGAGCTGGGGACGGGTGTGTTGCTGCTGTCTTTGCCAGGAGACCTTCCTGCTAAACCCTGTCAAATGCTTTCTGAGCATCCAGCATGGCAATGTATAGCCGTTGGTTAGAGAGCTTGTAGATTTCAATGACAAGGTCCAGGGCTTTTCCTGTACGAGTGCAGGATCTTCCCTGCCGGAATCCGAATTGGAGTGAGTCTGGTATTTGGTGCTCTTGTATGTGTTGGGTGAGTTTAGGTTTGACCAGCAGCTTGCCTAGGACGGGGGTGGGTGTGATGCCTCTACAGTTACCTGGGAGAGATGGATTCTTGTCCCTGCCTTTGTGAAGAGGGATCGCAAGACTTTCCTGAAGTTGGGCTTGCTAGGAAAGGCTATATTCAGGTCAATATGCATAGGTCGGCTAGTTATTCTGGAATGGTGCTCGTCTTCCACAGTGTGCTGAACCCTGTCAGGCTTGGGATGGCGTTACTTCCCTGCTTGATGAGTTTGGGGCATATCAGCTGGATGTTTTTCTTGACCCCTGCTTCCCTCGACATCCATTTTACTTTTGGCAATGTTTGGTGGGTAGCACGGTCGGAGAGGAAGCTTGTCTGCCCCTACGTTGGGCATGGAGTTACCAGGAGTATAGTGGTGCTTCTGCAAGGTTTTCCTGCAAGGAATTGCCAGCCAGGTCTTGAATTGTTCTATTGTTTGTGGGCCTTGTGGTGATGTTAGTTGTTACTGCATTGTTTGTCAATGGTTCCCTATGCAGGTGTGTGCCCCTGTTAACTTTATCTAGGACCTCTTCATCACCAACTAGACTTTCAAACCTGTTGCTGGTTGGAGTGCTATAAAGGTCCTCAGCCATCGCTTGGTGAATACCAACTAGTGAATTAGGAGGAGATGGCAGATTGCCGTTGCTCTCATCATGATGTACCTTGTGCATCCAGGTAGGGATAAAGTGTTGATGTTTGTCTTAGTGTTGGCTCATAGATCTAGAGTACTGGTTTAAGTAAGCTTGCTGACTGGGTTGGTTATAGTTACAGGGGGACATGCCCACAGCTCAAAGTTTTGACAGGAGCTGGTGGTCGATGGTCCAGGTTGTAGACGGTAGCGGGAAGGTGAACCCAGGTGATGGTTCTTAGACCTGTACTGCTGAGTGCTATTAGTGAAGGATCTGCTCTTTTGCAGCCTTGGCTGTTGCGTTGTATTAGGACTAGTTGGACTTCGTGTTGATGGTGTCTCTGCAGGGACGATTTCATTACTGAAAATATCAGAGAGGCCTTGCGTTTGGCAAGCAGTGGTTAAAAAATCAGCTTGCAGCTGGAGAGATCTTAGCTCAGCTTCCTCCTTGAGCAACGAGTTCCACAAGGTGAGTGTTATTTGAAAGAGTCCTCTGAGTCTCATCTTCCAACCCAACTGTGTGCCCGCTTTCACCATGTTCATGAGGAGCTTTGTTCACATCTATGACGTATAGTTCAGGTCCAGGTTCTTCAGGTTGACCTTCTTCAATGAAAGCTCTCACAGAAGTTGCATGCATACCTCCATCTTGATTACTGCTGTCAAAGTAATCCCCCTCGTTAGATGTACCCTTTCTGTCAGGCTCTGAGGCAAGGGAGGAGCACCACTGGAACATGTCCCGAAAACTTGTTTCGTTTCTGGTTCATCCATTTGGGCTTCTCTGAGATGTGGCTTGGTGAGGTGTCATCACGAGATCGTAGCGTCAAGCAGACATAAAATTAACTTTACAGGTTCATTAATACTATTATAATACCCGTTTGAAATTCACAATGATGTTAAAGTTTTTACCTGCTTTTAAGTCATTACCGTATTCCTTTTTTATTTTTACAGTGTAACTGATGGCACTGATGTGTGGCGGCTGGCTATGGATTATCTCCAGTTAGAATCTCATGTAAGAACTTAATGAAAGGATAGGTTGTCCAGTATTCACATTAATAATGACAATGTATTCACAGAATTCAAGCCATATCACAGGGCATGAAGAAAGATACCCCAGCCCCCTCACTAGCTGCAGTCATGTTTAATAGTGTGTTTAAAAAGTAGAAAATACAAAAACAATTCCACAAACTTTAGATACCACTGCACATGATAAGAGGGATGTTCTGTTCATGATAAGACATTTTAAACTTGATGTTGTCTTTCTTTTGCTCTAATGAATAAATATTATGCAGAATACTTCTAGGATTGCCACATAATTAATATCTAAGCCATTAATATAATGTATTTTGAAATGTGATGTATATTTATCATTTTGATAAGTCTATTCTTCAACATTCCTCTTTTTTAAACAATTTCTCTATGTCTCACTTTGTTAACCTTTTCCCTTTGCAGAGAGATTTGGCAGAAGTGACTACATGTGAGGCTTACTTTTTAAGATTCAGGTTTGTAGGGGTGTATTTTCACTATTCATTGTTAATGTGTTATCTGATGAGTTCGAGGGTCTTAGATTTGGTAGATACTCATGATAATAGACGAGTCGGCAGTCAGGTTTGTGTTGATGGTGACCATGTTTATTGAACTACCACGGATACCGGATATATCGGATATCGTATATCGTAACATCCCCCTTCCTCTAAAAAGATTGGGAATCAGTGAACATCACTGATCGATGATTAATGACATATTGCTTTGATAACAATACTTTTGGTAGTATGCAAGTTTTGGTTATTTGCTTCCTAATGAACTTTTTCCAATCAGGTTATATAACATAAAATCTTGAACTGTTTTCAATACGTTTCTTTTGTATTGTATTAACGAATGAGTATTTAACTGTCTATATAATTATATCGTTCCACTTTCAACTTCACAGTTGATCTGCAAGATTGAACATAGTTTTGATATAACTTGATTCCTTTATAAAATGAATTTCCAAACGAAACATGTTTGGGCTAGCATCTGTTTAGACTTATAAACATTATGCTTGTCATACCAAAAATACTGTACAATGATTATACATACATATGAACAATAAACTTCTTAGACTACATTAAACTAAGCGTCTTCTGTGTTCTTCTTTATCTTCTCTCTTCTTTGAAGAAAGTTGAGAGTTCAGTTTCAATCTTCAAACATGTATCTCGCTGGTGTACGGATGTTGCGTCCATATCTTGTTGTGGTTTGCGAGTTTGATGTTGGTCCTTTAGATTGAATGTTCTGAGTTTCTGGTGTTGGCTGATGGTTGTTGCCATTCTGTTGTGGTGTTTCTGCTTGAGTAGATGAAGTGTAGTCTTCGTCGAACCTAACACGCTTTGGAGTAGGGTTGGTTGACGATGGAATCTCCCTCAGGTGAGATCGGTTTCGTCTCAGGATTCCTCCGTTAGGTGTTGATACTTCATACGACCTAGGCTCGTCGCAGACTTTGGATACTTTGGCTGGTATCCAAGTATGATCTTTGGGATGTAGGACTCTGACTGGTTGTCCTACGTGGAGTGGTGGAAGATCTGGACCCGCATGTCGATCGTGCGTTTCTTTCATCTTACTCTGTCGATTCAAGAGATGATCAGTGGTGGTAGATTCTCTTGAAAGATGATGACTTGGCAGTGTTGTTCTGATGGGTCTTCCAAACAACATCTCTGCAGGTGATCTCATGTGACTGTCAACGGGTGTTGCTCTTAGGTGTGACATAGCCAGTTGACTGTCTTGGCCAGTCTGTGAACACTTTTTCAACAGATTCTTGACGGTACGAACCATGCTCTCAGCTAGTCCGTTGGATCTTGGATAGTGAGGTGAAGAGGTTGTATGGGTGATCGACCACTTCCG